AGCAGGAAGTGAGGAAAGGCAAGCGGTAGTGATGAGTCCACTGGGGCAAGAAGATGTCTAGCAGGAGAAATGGGAACGAAGGTAAATGAAGAATCCTCTTGCTGATCTTCTGGAGGAGACTGGAAAGACGCAGTCTACTACTGTCTATGCTCTAAAGAGGACACAAGAGAGGGAAGTCTGAAAAGAGAACCTTGGAAATTGAAAGCCGAGAGTCAGGAGAGTGAGATTGGTTTAAATTGGCAAGGGTACTGTTTGGTTAGAAAAATGGCAGAACCACAGGAGTCTGTGCTGTAGAAAGTCAATTGTAGAACGTCCATTAGATGCACTCTAGAGAAGAGCAGAAGAAGCAGATGTAGGGAGTGTGGCAGGATGAGGGTGGACTGAGAGGACCATCCTGGGTGAGAAGGGCTCAAGAGAGAGTCAAATTAAGAATGAACAGTCACACCAGAGGCTAGGGGAAGGAGACGTGGAGTAGATAATCTGTGGACAAGATCAACTGGAAGTCATGAGAAAGTTCTTTCTTGGGTGATAATCAATGAGGAGACGCTCACTAATTCAGGGATCATAGTCTTTGATGAAGAGTACATGAAGTGGCCTTTCTGTGGCAGAGTAAGCTGAGCCAGAGCTGTAAAGGCAAGAAATACATAACCAGAGCAAGACAAAGCTTGCAGATAGAATTTTTTTTTTTTACCAAAAAAAAAAAAAAAAGGAATAGTTGGCAAAACAGACACGTTGTCAGATCTACACTGAAAAAGGTCTTTTCTTGTTTCCATTTTCTTCCCAGCTATATCAATCCAATGAAAGCAACAACTTGTTCTTACCTACCTTGTATTGCCTATGCCTTATGCCTTTGGATTTTCAACAGCAGTACTACCAAATCAAAAGGCAGATTTTATGCCTATTTATGTGGAAGGTGAAATCACTGAGGACAAATGCAAATGGATATGGGAAAAAGCAAGAGGAAAGGGGATCCCAAAGACAAAATCAGTGAATTTAGGAAATGCTAGTACATGAATTCAGAGTGGCAGCTACAGATCTATTCAAGACAGGAGAGGAAGAAGAGCAAAGTTCAGAGTGAGAATAAAAAGAAAACAGATACCTCTACACGAAGAGGTTAAAACAGACCGTATGAGGAAAACTGATTGAAAAATTGACTGTGTTCTTCAAAAGACAAACATCAGTATCAGAACAACCTATTCACTTTTGCCGTAAGATCATTTGACCTTCAGACATGAATCACAAAAGTGAAGGCATTGATCCCATGTTTAGGCTTTTTCTATTCCAGAACAGTTTGAAGAGAGCTGTAGCAAAACATATATGAAAATCTTTATGGACTTTCTTTAAGGACTTCAAGGAAAGCAACTGGCCTCATCCAGTATTAAACAGTGTGCACACGCACGTGTGCTTGTGTGCTGTCAGCTGCACATGATTTCCAGGCAAAAGACTTTGGCAAAATGCCCCACACAACAGAAAAGGATGTTTTTAGTAGACTACTCAAGCATCCTGCAGGTTTTCTGGAAAGTCTAGGGCAGACATAGGCAGACATATTTAGAAACCCTTCCTATGACTCTGCCGATATATGTAGCACAAGTACATCTTTTCCTCACAAGGAGAAAGCCACGAGAAGCAGAAGGAAAAAAAAAAAAAAAACACAGACCCGTATTCTAGCCTTCAGAAAATGGCTTTCTCCTTCAGGTGGGTAGACAACTCTTTTTCCATCTCACTTCTCAGATTCAGGCTTCATAATTTCCATATTATTTTATTCAAGAATTTTCAGAGCAAAAAGAGTTTGACTTGCCCCTTCCTCGGCTGCAAAATGTGCATGTTGCTATGCTACAGGGAAAGGGCAAGCAATAGCAGACGGTGTTTGGTTGATACAAATCTTTTCATTTCACCTTTTACTCCTTCGTGCTGTAACTTTAGGAGGGATTTTAAATGTATAATGAACTCCAGCTGGCCTTGCATTAGAGCACTGCAGAAAGCTGGAAAGGAGGAGGTCAGACGCCTCTGCTCGCCCTCCTGCCCGTGGCAGCATGAACCGTATTGCCGCAGTCTGAAAACTGCATCCACAAGTTTTTAAAGAAAGGTTAGATAATGATGGCGATTTCAGTGCCCCTGGGCAATCTGTTCCACTCCTCAACTCTCCTAACCATTAAGAAGTTTTGGCTAATGCCCAATTTAAATCTCCCTTACTGCAGTTTAATCCCGTTATATCTGCAACGAATGCCGTGAATAATTGATTCTCTTCTTCTTTGCTGCTACCTTCTGCATATTTGAGAACTGTATCTCGCTCATCTTTCCCTGATACAGACTAAACAACCCTGCTCCTTCAGTCTTTCCTTGCAGCCCATGTGTTTTTTAGCCTTTGATCATTCTTGTTGTTCTCCTTGGGACTCCATCTCCTTTCTTAAAATGAGATGCCAAGCACCGTGCACAGCATTGTAACTGAGGCCTCACCATGCGAGGTAGGGCAGGTTTACAAGAGTAAGATTTACGAATGATGGGATTTCTCCATGCCAGTGCAAACCAAAAGAAAAAGAAGTCCTTTAGTCAGTAAAAACAGGCCATTGATACTTACGCTTCCAGTGTGAAGCCAGTGTTTTTCAGATTGCATGATTGCTCATTTTCTGATGGCCACTAGATACTAATATTCCAAGCCAGCAATATTTGATCAGCTATCAAAGAGCTCATAGCTTCTGCCAAGGATTCCTGTATGATTCCCATCAGGAACTGGAAACTCTCTCTGATTCTAGCTACTAAAATTAATGGCATCTAGTTTTATTCATTCGAGATATAGCAAAGGTAAGAAAATTAGAATAACCTCTACTGAATAGTGTAGCTCATTAAGCAGACCTTAATGAACTACTCTAAAACTAAACTTTGGAATTCCCCAAAAAATTAGATGAAAAAAAGTATCTTATGGACCTCTGACTCTATAAACATTTATAAGTGACTTTGGAGAAATGAGTTTGGTCTGTTGATTTCAGAGATACTGAAAGGCTGGCTTGCCAGTGCAGCCTCAGGAGCGTGTAGCCTAGACCAGGAGTGAGTGTTCTGGTATTTCCTTATACTGATTAAATGGAATCAAGAAAAATGTAAATACTGGGGGAGATTTGGAATCCAATGCAGCTAAATCAGTGCACCATCTTGGGAAACAAGACAAGTCTTGGGAACAACCCAAGATTTGTAGGTATGTCTCAGAGAGAAGTAACCTGCCTTTGAGAGGGCTGCATGAATGGAAGCAGTACAGATTGTGTGAGAAAAACATGTGAATGTGTCCTCCTACATGCAATCTTTTCCACCACATTTTAGCAAAAAAGAAATCTTTCTACTTGACCTAAAATTTTATCTTTTTAATAAAGACCCAACTCCCTAAAAGGATGCAAACATGGAAAACAGGGCCTGGGAAGAGAACAAAACCAGCCAAATGGTGTCACCTACAGGGTTTCTGGTTCTTACCACTAAAATGTCTTCACCTCTCAAAATTTGGTGCCTGTGCAAGTCCCCAGATGTGTCAGCTTTAACAGGCCTTGGAGTTCTGTTAACAGCCCAGCATACACCTACTCAGAGCCCGGAAAGTGATACCGCTCACCTTGTAGAAGTTTGTGTTTTCCAAAAAAAAAATTCTTTGGATCTCCATGCTGAATGCAGTGGCAGATGACAGTAACTTTCAAGATTTGGCTGCCACTATTCATTTTCTACCAGTTCTTTTAGCCTCTACACAGAATATAAGTGACAGAGGTCAATTCCTCCTTGGCTGAAAGCTCATCTAACTCACATCTCCCACCTCCAAAGAAGGTTTCCTGATCACCAAGCCATGGAGGAATCGTTGTTCCATTTTCCATAAAGTTAATCAGGATTCAGGGGTTAGAAAACGAATGCATGACTTTAATGTAATGGTGACTGTAGTCATATGAGGACTGTCCTCACTGATAACTTCTTGTGAAACGTATCCTCATTTCCAAGCACTGCTTTCCTTGCAGCGAAACCTCTTCAGCCAGAAGGGCAGGGCTGACCCTTTCCCTGCAGCAGCCACTGTGGGGCTGTCCAGTGTCCCACACAGGATTTAAGGACAGCGATGGAGCCCATAGGACTGGCAGCCCTTTGCAAACGCTGCTTTAAGTGCTTTGCCACACTAACCCCTTAATTTCTTAGCCCTATGGGCTGTCAGCTGCCACCATGGTGTAAATATGCCACCACAGGCATATTTACATGGCTAATCATGCACTTGCCAGCTGTGGGGCCTGGAGTGGTCCTGGTGGGGAAAGCTGGCCAGACCTTACACATCTGGTGACAAGAGGGCCATCTCACAGCGTCAGGCCATGTCTCTCCCACGCTATGAGGCTGCCCCACTGCTGTCCTTGTCACACGCATCTTCAGTCACCACAGGCATCAGCCAGGTTCCCTGTCCCCACAGCCTCTCCTCCCCGGCACTGCCCCACGGGAGCGTGGCCAGGACGTGCCCCATGGCCGAGGAGCTGCTGCCTTGCACTCAGGACAAGCGTGGGGCCCGGGCTGGCACCCGCAGCGAGAGCCATGACCCCTAGGCATGGACTGGGGGTGTGCATGGGGAGGGAGTTTGGGGACAGTTGTGGGGACAGCCAGCGCGGGGAGGCCGGGGTCAGTCCGAGGAAAGGTTTGGGGGCCGCCCGGGCTGGGGCTGAGGGGCGCTCAGTGCGGGGGGAGGCTGAGAGGAGGCTGAGAGGAGGCTGC